GGGGGGGGGGGGGGGGGGGAGGGGGGGGGGGGGGGGGTGTCAGGGTTTAGTTGTGATAGGCAACCGTTCGCAACAGGCGTTCGGGAGTGGAAAATTGTGGCATTCGTCCCTCTGTGCCAATTATGTTTCCACAGAGTGGACAGCATCCCGAAAAACGCTATGTATGTACAATAGAAATTACATATGGTACGTATGTATGTAGTGTACTACATAGCTTGTGCTTATTTATCCTACAGCAGTAGATTTAGCTGGTCCGCATTTTTCTAGAGTTCAATCCACTCAATACGAAAACCTTGCCATACCGAACGGTATATTTGCGGGGCGCTCTTCCCGATCTATGTTTCCACATAGTGGACAGCATCCCGAAAAACGCTAAATATGTATGTAAGATAGAAATTACATATGTATGTAGTGCACTACATAGCTTATGTATGTAGTGTACTACATAGTTGTGCTTTTCCTACAGCAGTAGATTTTAGATGGTCCGCATTTTTTCAGAGTTCAAAATAGCCCGGTCGAGGTTACATCTGTGTGGCGGGCAGGGGGGGTGGTATCCTACGTCCTTAGAGGGGGGGGTGGTATCCTACGTCCTAAAATTTACAGCAGCAGTCTTTTTTTTTTTTTCAACCTCGGTCATCGTTTGGGAGGAGGACAACAACACGCCAGCAACAGCTGTCTCTATCGAGACTATTTACACACCTACATTTCTAGACAGTATACTCCGCTCTACCACACTGTAGCCCCATCAGCAACACGCTGTGAAGCTTGCTACAGCAGCAGCAGACAGCGGAAGTTGTTGTGCAGACTGCTTCACGTGTAGACTACAAACAACCAATTTGAAGTTTCACCTGCATGTCGAGGTTCGCAAGCAGCGACGCCTGGTGCTGTCCGCATGTCCGGGCGGCATCCGAGTCCTCCCGCCAGGTCACCAGGGGAGCCGTGTGTTTGCATCCCTTGCCCATCGCCAGCTCCTTCGCACGGGTAGCGATGTAAGCTCGGATGCTTTCCGGGTCCTTCATGGCAGCGTCCAAAAGCTTGAGGACGTCGGGCTCCTGACTCGCGCTGGGCGGGTCTCCCATCAACCCCTCTAGCTCTTCCCCCACAACCGGGTCGTCAAACAGCGGGTCGTACTCGCTCTCTGGCGCTGAACCAATGCAACGTGCGGTCATCGACCGGGAGGCGGGGGCAGCAGCACCTCCTGTCTCGCCGCTGCTGGTTTCCTCGCGTTGTGTGTCACCGCTGATCGACACCCGGGCCCGCTTGGCATCAGGACTGCTGCTAGCCTCCATATGACGTACTGCTGTGTAGCGTTGCGCTTTATTGAGGTCGTTAGGGCGCTTACAAGCCGCTGTGGAGGGTATGGAACGGCCTGCGTCTTTTTGGTAGTGTTTTTGCCCATCCCCTACCCCCCCCCCAAGAACGCGGAGTTTCGACGGTTTCATGAATAAAAAATGTTACGGTTCAGGGGGGCCATTTTCCCACTGTTGTCAGGGCCCCCTTAATAAGCCAAAGGTTTTGGGAATATCTCGGTTTCCACAGCTTCATCATGTGTGTTTTTCGCGGGGGACGGGGTTGCCCTAGTTACACCGTTGCACCGCATCGTTCTGGTGTCGACATTGTACTCCTATTGTAGTTACTTGCTGATAGCACACGCAAACGATAAGAGTGTGTTGCTCGGAGATCAGTACAGACGCAGGTAGGTCACACATTACGAGAATCCGTTGCAGTGTGCTCGAGAATCTTTGAGAGAGAGACGTTTTCGCTTGCGGACACCCAACTGATTTGAGAAAGAGACCCAACGTTCGAATCCAACTTTCGATTGTCCATTGACTGCAAGCAATACTCCGAGTACACGTATTAGACCGGGCTTTATCCATACCGTTTCTCCGTACCGTTGTTGTTTACTTCACGTACATCAGGTGTTGCGTGTGATGCAACAGAAGGATCATCGCAATCTGCAGCTCCGTGTGTATTTTTTATTTTGGTAGAGCAGGGTAAATGAATCCTCAGTTGATATACATTACTACTACAGTACCACAGTCAGGTAGATGCGCAGAACGGTCGATGTGTCTTATCAATGCAGGCAACGAAAATACCACACCTCTGTGGGGAGCTCTAGACACTGCAGCATCACACAGCAGTGGCTTATGCTCGACGACGTCGCGGCGAAACAGGAAACTGAGCGTCGACGGTCCTTGGCGTCTGGTTCGGTCCTCGTTCCGACAGGTTCGACGGCATATCAAACACCCCTACACATATACGTACGTGGTGCCACCGCGTTGTCTTGCGAAGAGGCAAACCATTTGGCGGTGTGTTACCTCACACAACATCGAACGGCTTTAACATTCCCCTGAGAAAGCGTGAGACGAGCCCAGATGTACAACGGTCCAAACGGGTTTGGATGAACACTGCTCCCTTCTCTCAGACCGCTTGTCCACTGACGATCAAGCCAAGACAAGAGCAGACGTACAAAACTGGCATAGCGAAACACATGGCTAGAAAATTTTACACATGGTGGTATGAAAGCAACGAACACCACTCATGTACACACACAAAGGCACGTCACCAAAATAACACTACACAAATTCCTTTGATGTGAGGAACCGTTCGATCCCCGAGCTCGAAACCTTTGCGCGCTTCTTCGGGAAGGCCTCTTCCTTCGATCTCCGACGGCCGGTCCCTCCACCGCCCACTCCCCCCCCCTCCTCCTCGCCCGCGGGTGCACACACTCCCAAGCACGCGTCTAGGTGGCGATTTAGCGCCGCGTTGGACGCTGCACCTAGCTCTTCCCCGCACACAGGACAAGATACATTCGCCGCTGCTGTCGCTAACAACCCGCTACGCGGGATACCCGTCGCCGGCTGCAGCCCCCGCAGTAGTTCCTTACTTCGCGGACGAGAACCAGGGCGACCCTGACCACCGCCGACGAACGGGTGCTCCATCGCGGCAGGCGTTGGCCTCGACGGGCGCGAAAAATACCCCGCGGGTTGTTGTTCTACCCCCCCCGCGGTGTCCACCCTCTCCTTCCTCCGCTGCCGCGTGTCGTCGTTCCCGCTCTCATCTCCCCCTTGACACCCCCCCTCGGCCGCCTTCGAAGAAAGAAACCCGTCAAGCGTCGCCTGTCCAGGCAAAACCGGGGCTCCAGCCTGGCCCCGAAACCCGGAGGCCCTGACCCCTATTAGCCGGAGGCGCAGCTTCCCCCCCGGGGCGGAGGCGGCGGCGGCACCCTGTATCTCCCGTTGGAGAAGGGCCGATGCCGCGGAGAATAGGTCGTCCGCCGAGCTGACGTACGCGTGGCCCGTGGAGTCCTGCGTACGGACCTGAAACTTGGTGGTCTTAACCTTGAGCCCGACGGTTTTGGCCTCGAGCCCCTTGGTTGCCATTTCTAGGGAGGACAACGAGCGTCCATGGGGTGCACGATCGAGCATGTTTTTCCCAAGCGGCCGGGGGAACGTAGCAGGTGACACACACGCAAGGCGAGACGCCAAGAGTTAGGGATGGCTTGGCACGAACAAGTGCATCGTTGCCTTAACATACATAGCGATAAAGCGTATCTCGGAAAACCTTGTTATTATAGCATAGACAGGACTTCCTGCCGATCGCCGTAACATCGACGGTTAGAAAATGAAAACGGACGCGAAACAGACAAATAGAACCACGTCTCCCACACCAGAAAGTGGGCTCACCCGCGCCACGAGACTAATACGTGATTCGGCGTGTGCTTTGGCAGGTGCATGAACAATACCGCCGGTAAAGAACCACAACAACCACAGGTGGTATTGACCCCCACGGGACGATTCACCATGATTCCACGAAAGACCAGCGAAAAGCCCAAAACCGACGAAAATGCATCACCAGAACGACGACTCAAAAACCTCCGCAAAAGAAAGAGTGGCTACGTGTGGTCAAATATCTCGGAGTGGCTCGAGACTCACCGGCCGCGAGGGAGTCGCAGATCTCTCGACACTTATCTAGGAGGTCTCTGGGCGCCGACAGCTCGCCGAAGGTCCGCTCCTTGCTGATTTTCGTGAGCCGAACAGACAAACGAAAGCCGCAACATCAGCATAAACACAAAGCTTACATTGTAGCGCACACAAGCCTCCCACAAAGCAGCTGGATGCCATACGAAATGCTACAGATAGTCGTTGCTTTTCGTCAACTCTCTTTGTATGAAGTAAGTACCGACAGTAGGGAGCCCGCCGTTCTTGGGAAAAATCAACGAGATTTCACACTTGTCGACGACAGCAAGCCCATATTATCGTTAAATTGAATCCGCTGCGTTCCGTGCAAGCAAACGTCTCTTCCAAACAAACCCCGCGTCGGGATAGCAGGCCTGCCCTTTCCGCTACGCATGCTCATCCGAAATAACACAGTGAGTCATCGGGGCCCATTTACTCACTTGTCGGAAAGTTCGCAACAAATAACAACAACAACAACAACAACAACATCATCTACTCTACTACTACTACTACATCAATATGGTCAAGCTCGATATTGTGCGCAAACGTATGCAGCATACTCAACACTTGCCTGAAAAGCAAGCGTTTCGACGGATAACGCGGCGTTTTCTCTTGACCCACCGCCCAACCAGCGAGTACATGCTCTTAGGATAATCGCCGAAATCTCGGTGGGAATAACAACGACATTCTTAGGAAGCACTCGCCTGATCTGCTTGCGAGTGACGGCACCTATCGCCTGCGCCTGTTCAGTGGCCACGTCATGGTCGGCGGAGGCGATACCTAGCGAAGCCTTGAAAACGGATGGACGTGAGGTCGAAAACAAGGGGCACAAGACAAGGAGTGGAGGAGAGAAGGGCGTCAAACATTGGCCTGTACAACGCGCAGAGAGTCTATCCCGGCGTACACAAACACCACAACACCACTTTTACATATATACCACAGGGGACAACGAACCGCGCACAACTGGCAAACAGACACCGGAAGCGCACAAGACACCCAAACGTCCAAGCAACTACTGTTTGTGTACCTTGATCAGCCATCGCGATGTGTGCGGGGTCATGACATGGATAACAGCGCCCCGCTCCCTAAACAGATCCCCGCATGTAACAACGCCGAGCGCCTCTCTCAAGCACTTCTCTTGCACTTTGCCCACGCCACCGATCTGTGCGAGAACAACAAGGTGGGTTGCGCCAGCAGCCAGCCATACAGGCACACGCGTGACGGAAGAAGAAATGAGAAACAGTTGTGAACAGGAAGCATCTTCGAGCGCACTGGATGAAACGTGTTGCGGCCCTAAGCGAAGTTTTCAGTGCGGTGGAACAGGAAGCGCACGAGGTCGAAAAAACAAGAAAGGGCGGGTGCACCACAAAGAGCAGCTGCATTCTCGTAGGCACGCCCAAGCGAGCAACACCCAGTGGGTTCGGTGCTGCTCACCGTCGAAATCCACCAGCAGCCACAGAGAAGAGCCTGGAATGAAATACCGGTAAGTCCAATCGCACAAGATCAGCAGCCTACATCGGTCGCCCCGATGGTCTAGTGGGTAATCTCGCAGCCTGATAAGGGCCAGGTCATGGATTCGGGCCCCGGCAGAGTGAGTTTTTTTTTCACTAAATAAATCCTGGTCTAGGATGAAAGCGACGCGCTGCAAAGCTCGTTCGTTAGTAAACCATAATCGACTTCGTAAGTCGCGAGGGAAGGGATTGCTGTACCCTTCTCGCGATAAAAATACCTCAGGCAGGAACCGCAGGAGGGGGTCCAGCCCCCCCCTCCTATGTGACCCCGGTTCGGTCGTCTAGCTAGTAGAAGTGGAGGATAGGGGCCAGAGGGGCAGACGACAGAATCCGATGATGGGAGAAAAAAAAAACACACACCAAACATAGAGACAAGGCTGCACTCCTCGAGGGGGGCTTTCACGTACTTCAACGCGAACCGCAGAGAAACAAACCTCTGCAGTCATGCCAAAAACATCAAACACTGCATAAGGTAATTGCTAACCTTTCGGACAGGAAGATCGTGCAGGAACCGCAGCACCTCCGCACGGTCACCCCCTATGCACATTTGCCCGTCCGGCTTGTTCCAGTCTGAAGCTATCTGCGTTGCAACGAAACACACCAGATCGGGCGGGTGCGTCGGGGGGTGATTCTATCAAATTCGAGAAATCGGTCATTCTCAGCCATTCGTCGGCCAAGCGTGCTGTCCAGGAAACAAGGGCAACAATCTCCACGACCATTTCCAACGATGCGTGGGGACCATCTGGGCCACCACAAGAAACCCGACGCAGTTTTCGTATTTTGACGGGCTGCTCATTGGCGCACCTTTGCTAGCATGAAGTTCGGACCGATGCCGACGCTCGCCGTGAGCTTGGTAGCTTCCCTTATCCTCGCTCTGATTTCTTCCGCCAGGACTCGAGCGGCCTCAAACAGCCTAATCCGCCGCGTTTCTCTTGGGTTCCTCTTCTCCCAGCTTCGGCCATCTCTCGCCTCTTCCTCGTCCTCCTCGTCCCCCTCGTACCTTTTCTCTGTGTACATTACATTTGAGCCCATACGTCGTCGCCGGCTCGTGTCCGCTTCAGCCTCGTAGGTGACCGAGCAAACATGTTCTGGTGCGCCCGCTGCCGCCGCCGACGCCGCCACCCCTGCCTCTTTCGTTCCCGCTGGAGCGTTCGACCCGTCCAACCCCAGTCTCTCACACAATACCTTGGTGACGTTCAGGTAGGCCTCGTCCAGGCTGTAAGCGCGCATACGGGGGTCGTACTCGCGAAATATCTCCCGTATTTGCTCCGCCACCACCGTGTACTTTTCGTAGTCCGGCTTGACGAACACCAGCTCGGGACAAAGCTTTCTGCCGATGAAGCCCGGCATAGCGCTCCTGACCCCCTTGAGCCGGGCGTGGTAGTTCGTCGTGCTGATCATGCTTTCGCCGCCAACAGCGACCGGCTTGTCCGCGAGCTCGGGCCGATCTCTGAGTGAAGCAGTGTTACCATTCTCGTGGTGATCGTGATATCAGACGCCAGACCCGTCGAGAATAAAACTAGGCAAAAAGCAGCGAGTTCAACCTTCGACACAAGGCTATCCGTTCGGAAGCTCATCATCCAGAGGGTCACGCACGAGGTACTTTCGTACACAATGCCTTTCGCCCTAGTTGTTGTTCTCGAGCCTAGACAGCCGATGAACTATTAGCATGCAAGCATGCCTCGAGGGGATACCACGACGATGTAGAGGCTCGGCAAAGCGAGGACCCTTCCCCTTTCGCGGCACTGCTGTAGTTCGACGATAACCGACAGCAACGTACCGTCGAGACGGCGTGCCGGGATGTGCTGACTTCGAAGGAGTGCAGAGCAACCCTGGCCCTTCGAAATTCGATATCACACCCCACCCGTGGGGGGAACGCGCGTTCCGAACAGGTTCCCCCAACAACAAACAAACTACGGCATCGGGTCGGCAGAGTGGTCGATAATACTGACCTGACTTCGACGGCCGCATAAAACATGTCCATGTCTATCACAAGACAGACATCATCGAGCTGTCGCTGTGCTTCCAGCTCTGTCGCTATCTTGTCCGCCTGGCGGGTAAGCTGGGCCTTGCGAACGCCGCCCAGTGCCTTGAGTTTCACCTTCATCTCTGCCACCTGAAAATAAGTGCGGTCGCATGAAGCCATGCACGACATTGCGGTGCATTATATGATTAAGCTACGGTGAGCAGTCGACGAAACGCGTTCTACGCGTTATAGGACGGGGGTGCAAAAGTAATGCTGCAACAGAGATGGTACTGCCGCGCACAAAAAACGCTGTGCTGTAGACTTGACCATCGCAGCAAGCCAAGCGCGTACACATAACAATGGTGAATGATCGAACCCGTAAATGCCTTCCCAACTGTTTTCACGCACGTACTTTGAATTCAAGACACAGAGAGCCGGTTCGCACGCCAACCCGCGAGACACGCGCGAATTCGCGAATTTCAAACCGCCACATTGAGCACACGCATGATACATGCCTTCTGATCAAGTTTGTCGTCCTGAAGCTTAGCCTGCTTAAAGTAGGACGAGTTCTTGCTCATCTCGTAGATGATGTGATTGACCTTTTCCTTGTCCACACTCCCCATGCCTGCCTTGTTGTTTGAGAAGACAAACATATGGGCTGCAGAGCTGGAGGCAGAGGAAGATGCAGTGGATTCATTACTCTCTGCTGCTGCTGACGGTTGCTTTTGCTTCGCTTCCGTCGACGCGTCAATCTCCACAAACTCTTTCTCCATAGCGATCCCTCCCCTCCGGACGGCGGTGAACAGATGGAGCGCGTGGGCGGGTTTCGTGTGGAACGAGCAGCAGCAGTTTAGCAGGGCACCCTGGTTTAGTCAGTGTCAACCAACGTGTAGCAATACACTGTGCGAGGGGATACCCCCTACAAAAGACAGATTTGGTGACCTGATGCAACGTACCCTTGTCAGGAGGCTCCGTGGATTCTTCAACGGGCTGTGTAGGTGGACGAATCAGAAGAGAGCAATTCCACTTGCAGAGCGCAGAGCCGAAAGAGTGAGAGATAGAGAGCTAGAGACACCACACACCCGTTCCACTGCTGTTTCTGCCTCCTCGCCGCAAGCCAGCTCTTCTAACCGTGACCGGGAAAAGGCAACGAGAAAGAACGAGGTAGGTGCTGTCGTTTCAGTTACCATTGTTTCCATCCAGATGCGGCACAACGATCGGCTGTGTGCACCTGTGCACACTTCCAAACCACAAAACACGGTTGACTCGGCAGTATAGGGACACCCTTATCCTCGAGTAGCGAGAGAATATTGGCAGTGATGCTCTGGACTCCACCCTCGTCCGGGGAGCGTGGATGTCGATCCCCTATGATGCGAAGGTCCTGGTATTTTTTGGATCGCGAGGTCCTGTGCGTGCAGCGTATCGTCTCCGCCTGCCGGCGGGTTTGCATATGTCGCGGCGCAGCTCTAGTTGCGTCTCCACAACCCCACGCGTGGCGCGGTGTCAGCAACTAACTGCTGCAACGCGTTGCTTCCCTGTTGGCCTTCGTCTGCAGGACGGGATACTGGCGATGAAGTTCCAATTGGTAGCTGCGATCTCTGCGGTGTTGTGCGCGTTGACGGCAGCCGCCCCACGAGCGGATCCTAAAGAATGTGAAGGTATGTTGTCACACACGGAGGTACCAAAGTCGTACGATAGCGGTACCGGGGAGCTAAGGAGGTTTGCTGATGCCAGCGTGTGCGACTGCCCGACCTGTATGCCGTCGTTCAACTCGCTGCATATCGTGCAATACCGTTTTTGCTAAATGCAGGAAAACCTCCGTTTTTTTTTTTTTTGACGCAGCAGGATTAGTCACTACAGCGGTAGTCCAGAGAACTAAGTGGTGATGACACAAGATACCGTATGGCACCCTTTGACGATCTTACGCGCTCGATATCCGCGAATGGTACAGCAATGTGTAGGAGGATGTAGAATCCTGCCGAGAGCTAGACGATACCCATTGCCATGAGGGGGGGGCAATTCTGTTTTTTTTTTTTTTTCTCCCATCATTAGACTCTGTCGTCTGCCCCTCTGGCCCCTATCCTCCACTTCTACTAGCTAGACGACCCAACCGGGGTCACATAGGAGGGGGGGGTTGGACCCCCTCCTGCGGTTCATGCCTGAGGTATTTTTATCGCGAGAAGGGTACAGCAATCCCTTCCCTCGCGACTTACGAAGTCGATTGTGGTTTACTAACAACGAGCTTTGCAACGCGTCGCTTTCATCGGTATGTTGTTGTTGTTGTTGTTTTTCTCCCATCATTGGACTCTGTCGTCTGCCCCTCTGGCCCCTATCCTCCACTTCTACTAGCTAGACGACCCAACCGGGGTCACATAGGAGGGGGGGGTTGGACCCCCTCCTGCGGTTCATGCCTGAGGTATTTTTATCGCGAGAAGGGTACAGCAATCCCTTCCCTCGCGACTTACGAAGTCGATTGTGGTTTACTAACAAACGAGCTTTGCAGCGCGTCGCTTTCATCCTAGACCAGGATTTATTTAGTGAGAAAAAAACTCTCTCTGTCGGGACTCGAACCCATGACCTGGCCCTTAGCAGGCTGCGAGGTTACCCACTAGACCACCGGGGCGACCGGTTGTGCTTGTGTCAATGTGATTGTGTCTTACCGTAGGAGTGTCTCGGCCTCTCTTTCCAACGTGATCGTCCTTGAAGATGCTTGCAAGTGGAAGTGGAAGGTAGACTAGCCGGTTCGAGGGTTAGCGCCGACCCTGCACTACGGTGGATGGAAAACGTGTCAAATTTGTTGTTGCCCCAAGAGAGTGCCCTTTCAGTCCTGTGATGCACGATCTGCGTACTCTTCTTGTCGTACACTAGAAGTAGTTTTCTTGCGGCAGTGCCAAACCTTTGAACACTATCACAAGTACTGAGCTTGCCACCGCTGTCGGTGCAACCGTTCCCCTGGTCGCCTTTAACTTGCAGATTCCTAGTCTACACCTTCACCCAACTACTTGTGTGCAAGCTCTCCACGCTATCCATGCTTCGATAGTGATTTCTGCATTGAGTAAGTAGCTACGTTTTCAAACGACGTTTCCAGCCTACCCTCACCTCCCGCCACATACTCGACAACAACCCTCCCCTGTCCACGGCCACGCGCGGCTCGGTTCCCAATGCCGCTCGACTTGTCCTTTGTTGCACATTTTGTGCGGCGTTTGGCAGTTTGCGTTAACGTGCTCGAACAGATCAGCGAGTCGATGCCCGCGGCAGATCGCAAAAACAAGGATAAGATCGAAGCGGCCATCGATGCTTTCTGCGACCAACGGCTCTCGTCACGGGACGACAAGATGGTCAGTGTGGGATAAAGGAGGAGATTAATTAAACATATTTGGCGTATAGACTTGCACAAGATGGGATTCCAAGTGGCTACAATCTGCCAAATTGAAAAGTGTAGCTGTAGTCCAACACTTCCGTTTCCAGAGAGAAAGAAGAAGTACCGTTGGTCCGGGAAAGAAAGGAGTCCGCACGCCAAAAATATCAACGAATGATGCGTCCACACTTGCTTGTTCGATACGGACGTTCTCCACTACGAGACTCCTACGACTCCTACCACGAGGTTTCGGTTGCCTCCGCCTCGCTCTATGAACATGTTTTTTAGAGTAGGCCAGCGCTGCTGGTGCTTGCTTCTCAGCACCTCACTCACAAGGAGGCCTTCTCGACCGTAGACAAGTAGCACTAAATGCCTCAAGTCTAGAGAATCGAGAACAGCACAGCCAAGAGCAATTTGGTGTTTCTACATGGGTGCTAGCTCTGTGGCGATCGCTGTCGCAACTACGGAGTGTTGCGCTCAGATTTAGGGTATGTAGAGCAAGCACAGAAAACTCCCTCTCTTCGGGGCAATGTTAGAGACGATCCGCTGGTGCCCAAAATTGGATGAGCGTATAAGTTAGACGGTGCTATGCCTCCTACTGTGACTGCTAGGCGTACAGGGCCTTCGGAGGGCCTTGGGTGTGATGAAGCTTTGTCTCGGCATTCGCGTACCCCGTGACCACAAAAGTGTGTTTCGTCGGGCATCTTGACCGGGTCTTGCACGCCTACATCTCGGTGCTGTGTGTTCTTTCTTGCGCAGAGGGAAATGGGCATGTCCCGTCTTTCGCCCCATGTAAAAGACGGCCAAGACTTGAATCTCTGGATTAATACGCGCCCCTTCGTCGTTTTCGTTGGTCCTTCGAAGCAATGTCTGCATTTACGAATATTTCCTGAAGCGTCTGTTTCATGCCCCCCCCCCCCCCCCCCCCCCCCCCCCCCCCCCCCCCCCCCCCCCCCCCCCCCCCCCCCCCCCCC